GATCAGACAGTGCAGAACTCTGACCCCAGTGGGACTGCCTGGGGGGCCAGGCATCCCCCCCGACCACGATCTGCAGTGGGCGAGTAGCGCCGGCCACATGGGCGGCCATTATAGCGAGGGCATACTATTACGCCCGCCGGCGTTTAGAGCCAGCTCCTGCAGGGCGTTATACTGTGCCCTCAGGATTTAAGGGGTTAAACTCCCACAGTGTGTTAACCATTACCACTCAATTTGCTAGCCTTGACAAACTGATACTTCACAACCAAATGAATAACCTTATATCTGTCTGTTGTAGAATTCTTGGACCCCATCTGTGAACAAGGCTGGTCATATTCCCAACTGAGTTGTTACAAATTCTTCATCGATGAGAAATCATGGACTGATTCTAAAGCATTTTGTGAGTCAAAGAACTCTCACTTGGTGGTAATCAACAATCAAGCTGAACAGGTTGGTTAAAAAATCTATTACATTAAATTATATACAGGTAGTTCCCGACTTTAAGAACTAATTGGTTCCGAATTTTAGTTCATAAAGTGAGAACTAATATCCCATAGACAGCAATGTAATAAACATGGGTTCCGTTCCTGACCAACACATTTTACTATTGAAAACCTAAACTATTAAGTACAAATACAAAATGAAAGCATAGCAAATACCTATATGTTGTAGGAACCATATTGGAATCTTCATCAAATTATCATCAATCATCCTCAATGAAGAGACATACTGCACTTGTTTAATGAGGGAACCTTTCTTAAGCCCTTCTACCCTTTCACTTTCTTCTTTATCAACTTCCTCCTCTCCCTTATCACTTTTTTTTTCCTTCTTTTATTTTTTACACCTCTCTCAAACTCTCCTCCTTCTCCTTTCTTACTTGCAAGCTTTTCTTTTACTCCTTATGTACAACTCTCAAACTCTCTTCTTTAGACTATTCAGCCCTCCTCCTGCTCCTTACTGATGCTGCCTGCCAAAACATGGCAAATTGGCAAGCACACACACACACACACACAGGTACGAAATGGGTAAAACCTTTACAGATATTCCCCTTATCGTGCAGTTAAAACAGTGTAGCACTCTGCAAATCAATTAACAGGCTGCTACACAATTAAGTGTGTTGATTCTAGATACAGGCACACCTTCAAAAACGATATAGAGGATAATAAGTGGAGTGCAAACTGCAGGAAAAAACCTGCTAATACAACCCTTATGAGATAAAGAGAAAAAGTAATTTATACTTAAAATATGCAGATGAACCTTGATGACATGAAAAAGAACATGAATATATAATGTAACGGCACCCCCAGGCATAAAAGGGGTTAAACGCAGTTTAGGAGATATTCCCTTCCAGATACACAGGCAGTTACTGAAGACATCAATCTCCCAAACAGGAAACCATCCGAATTCTCCAAACTCCCGAACCGGAACCATACGAATGCTGTAAACAGCCGAACAGGAAAAACCATACGAATAGGTTTACACTCCTAGCAGTCGAACTGGCACAGCATACAATAAATCCCCCCAAGAACGAGACAAGGCTCCGTGTTGGGGGTCAGGAAGTGATCTGGTTTAATGGGGCTACCTGCCCAGTATTTATGCAGTATCTTCCACCTGGTGAAAACTCCCCTAGGGGACCAGGTGGAAGACTGGGACACAAATGGTAGAATGGTAGAATGGCCAATCACAGGCATACAGGGTTAAAACACTTCCACAGTACATTACAATCCCTCCCCTCTATCCTGGAGATAATTGGTAAGTAATCCAATTATCTCCAAGGACAGAGGCAAAACTCCATTGAGCACATGTTAGTAAAAAGACACAAAAATACACAATGTTGCAAATAAGTAATAAAACAAATACATTCTACCTATCCCCAGACAGCTTAGATCTGAGCGCACATTATTACTGAATGGCGCTCAGATCACATACATACAGTTCAATCACCATGGAGCCAAAGTCTTTCCCATAGTCTTTCGTTACACGAATGAGCTCCATGGCTTAGCTATCTGGGGTAGCACTATTTACATGTACAAAGTGCCGAATGACCCGGTGTGTGTGTAATTACAAGAGAAGGGAGGTCGGCGGCTAAGCGGTGTTCGTGAGTTTAACTGTCCGTTTCGAGTTCCACAGTTTTGGAGCTGAACACCGGTAGCCGTTCGGGAGGTTAAGATGGCCGCTGCCACGTGTTCGGCTATATGAACAGCGGCCATCCAGCGTTCACCAATTATGCTGCGGTTAACTGCAGCTTCTGGGAGGTAAATCACCGGCACACTCCTTTCCCAGGTGGTCCCTCCATTCGTGCATTGGTTCGGTAGATTCAATCTACCGAACGCCCAGGCAGAAAGGCACGAATAAGCTTTTCTGCAGGGAAAATAAACTTCGCTCTGCTGATGGGGAGGGAGAATGAGGCTCTCCTCTCCCAGTAAAACACACTGCTGTTGGGGAGAAGGACCGACTGTCTCTGCCCCTGTAGCTCATTCTGGCGCTGGGGGAGGTAGACAGGGTTCTCCTCTCCCTGCAAGGGGTACTGCCGCTGGGGATGGGAGACAATGCTCTCTACTCCCTGCACTTTGCTTTGCCATTGGGGAAGGAGGATGAGGCTCTCCTCTCCCAGTAAAACACACTGCTGTTGGGGAGCAGGACCGACTGTCTCTGCCCCCTGTAGCTCATTCTGCCGCTGGGGGAGGGAGACAGGGCTCTCCTCTACCTGCAAGGGATACTGCTGCTGGGGAGGGAGGATGATGCTCTCCACTCTCTGCATTTCACACTGATGCTGGGGAAAGGAGA